TGGAGATCCCAGCCTGCCACAACAGCAGAGGGAGGACAAACCAAACTTTCTGTTAATGAGCAGAGTCCCTGCATCTCAATCCTTTAGAGTTGTTTGCTGATTCCTTTCTCCCTCTGTTTCTATCTGTCTCTCTGGAGAGAGTGCTTTTGCTGGGCTTATTTTTCTTCCTCTTTCTTCCTGGCAATATTCATATTCCCTCACTCCTAACAATTTAGCAAGCTGGGGCTCTGCTGCAGAGACTGCTGCTGTAGTGACAATGGTAGCTGCTCATATTTCTGGATTATCTGTCACCCCAGGGCCTTAGAAATCTTTGCAAAGCTTCCAATCATCATTTGCACTTTCAGTTGGAGATAGGGCCCTGTAAGAAACTAAAGCTCACTTACTCAAAATCTGTGGCCTGCAGAGGTCCTAAACATTTTTCCGACCTTAAGATTTAAATTTCTTTACAGGTCAGGCAATGAATTGGCAGCAGAGTTAGCCCTGCTTCTGCAGACTTCCACTTTTTGCTCCCTTCTTTGGCTTTGTTCACTTTAGAAAATTGGAAGTGATGGCATTTGGGAAATACGTGGTGTTTTCTGTCAGGTCAGTGAGCCAAACCATCACAAGGTTTTGTCAACCCGCTCCAGTGAGTGGCATGTTCACATCTAGGGGCTCTTTTTTGTCTTCCTTCCTGTCAGCATTTCAGTTTGCTGCAGACACAGCCTATTACTCCTTTACTTCTTGGTGGCTTCTGGCTCACCAAGGGCAGATGCTGCCAGCTGGCAGGTATTGAAAAAGAGGTGTTTGTTCTGCACTGGGTCCTCTGGGTACCATGGTGTGGGGCTCTCAGCATCCAGTCAGACACAAGACAGCCTCTGCAGGCATTGGCCTGGGAACACTTAGGCACTCTTGGGATTTAAATGCCTGTGGAGTTATGTGATACCTTGTAGGTTAGGTGAATGGAGGCTTTAAATATTTCAGTGATGCCTGAATGGTGGCCCTAGGCCCTGAAAAAGACAGAGGTGCTTAAATACTGTAAAGACTGGGCAATAAATTCTGAGTACTGGGAACTGTTGTATTTCAAGGTTCCTGCAGCTCTAAGAACAGTAGAGGGACTTGGGTGGAATAGACGAAAGAGGAATAAAATGAACAATTAAACTGATCGCTTTATAGGATATGCTCCTGCTTTCACGTGTCAGCCCTGTACCTCATGCTCCCCATGCTTGTTACTCATCATGAAAAATTTCAATACAAAAGTCATGTCCTACGTTGCATCTGAATGAAATTGCTTCAGATCACTGAGAATTTTCCTGTCAGGAATAGGACAAAACCCTTAGGATGCTCCCTTGGAATTATCTTGGATTTCTGCAGCTGTTTGTAAAAACCTGCTGTAGTTAGAGTGCCTGGAGTTGGTTTGGGCCTTTATGAAAGAGTTGTGGAACAGTATGCAGGTCTCTGACAGGAGAAAACTACTGGCCAGGGATCACATTTTAGTAGCCCTCTGGGGTGGCCTCAGGCGGCAGTATGGGGTGGGAGACCACTCTCCCCAAGGCTGCTGAGAGGCAGGTACTGAGGAAGATGAGCCTGACATTTCTAAGGAAAATTCTTTTACAAGAAACCAACATGAGATGATAAACAACTGACCTAATAACTCAAGACATGGGCCAAAAGGGAAACCTTTCAGTGCTTTTGGTCAAGGCTGGGTTATGCTCAAGGCAAAGGTGTGTCAGTGTACTTGGCTTCTTCTCTCATTGCCTGTGGCTCACAGCTCCAACAGAAACCATCAGAGCACTCAGAGGGAGCAGACTTGTGTGCAGAACTCAAATAAGTGTGGTGTCCAGCACTACACCTCCTCAGATCTGGAATGAGGAGTTGTTCAAGTGCTTTTTGAAGGGGCTAATGGGATTTGGCATTCAGATCAGCTTATTCCTAACTTTTCATTTGCTGCCCTGGGCAGGCTGCTGCATGCGGTAACTCTTGTTTCACAGCTGAGCAGCCCTGCTCTGCTGAGGAACAGCCATTGCAGGAGCTTTTGATAGGGGCATTGAACCTTTCAGATTTTCCATATAAAAGCTGAGGCAGAACTGGTAAAAAGAGTATTGTGTGGGCGATGCTTTTAGCATTACATCTTTAATCTGTAGTCCTTGCCATGCACAGTAAATATTTGAGAAGGTGAGTTTTGCTGCTTCAGAAACTCCTCAAAACAATAAGTTCAGCAGTAAGAGAAAACATATTTTGGATGTGTAGTCTCAGTTGTATTCTTTGTGCAGAAAAATACAGAAGCATTTCTCGTAAGCTGTGTGTCTAACCTAAGTGACTTTGAGACCAAGAACTCAGGAAAGTGAGGAGAGATGCAATTAGTAGCACAAGGATCTGCATTGTGACTCTCCTGCAGGCCTGGGGAAAATGCCCAGTTCCACAGGGAGATGGCTTTTTACTCTGTATAAAACCTTCATGCTACAAGTGCATTATGGCCCTGTAAGCTGGTCAAAAAAGCCCCAACCAACTGTCATCACTCTAATTTAATTTTACCTTCCCAAAAAACCTTTGACTGGTGAGATGCTAGGTTCAACCTCCACAGCAGCTCCAGTGCTGAGGGGCTCTGTAGGGTGTTGGTATCAGCATGTTTCACATAATGAGTTCAGTGGGAACAGCTCCGAGGCTGTCCTGGGTCCAACAGCAAGTGGGCACGGTGAGAGACTTGCCTCTGCTGCCGTGCCCAAACAGCTGTGGGGGAAGCAGCTGCTGGGGTAGAGATATGCTTCCCCCATGCTGCTGACAGCAGTCTTTCTCTGGCAGTTGGACTTTATGGCCAAAATTGTGACAGAATGTGGAAAAGGCGTAGCTTGAACGTGTCTTTATGTTGCTCTAACCCCACCTGACTTGAGCAGTTTGGTGTGCAGGACCCCGTGTAGGCAGGGCCATGGCAGGCATTGCTGGCTGTCTCTTGCACTGGCAGTGTTATTTTTCCATGTAGGCTCCTGATGCTGCAGGGAAACGCAGCAGCAGCTGTGTCAGGCCCAGCGACCAAGCAGCACCTCGAGTAGACTCTCATCTGCAAAGAGCCCGTCACCCCCTCTACCCCCACCACGGCAGTGCAAGGGGATTTCGGCGCAGGTAAAGGGCTGCAGCAGAATGGAGACTTCTTCAGCCGGGACCTCTTGCAGTCTCGTTCCTGCAGCCTTTGGCCGGAGGATGTTTGCCTGCAGCGATGGTGCCAATGCCCAGGAATGCTGCTTGGCTCTGGGAGGCAGAGCACGGACAAAAGCTGCATTCAAAGTGCTGATCGCGAGACCCGGGAGACGCTGGCAAGTGCAGCAGCAGCTAATCTTGGTGCAGTGCAAGTGAGAGCCCAGTCTTGGAGGCTGGGGAATAGGGAAGAGATTGGCCAGGACAAGGGACAGGGAAATGCACTGCATATAATTTTGAATTTTCAGGAAGAGACAAGATCGGAAATTTTTGGACACAGATCATGTTTATGTTGTGTTTGGGTGTCTCTGCCGTGAAGAGAACAGGGAATAAATCTGTGTCACAATCAAGGAGAACATTTGGATGACCAGTTTGCACCCTACAGATACATTAATCATTTAGGCCCACTGAATACTGGGGACATCAAACACAGAATTCAAAGCTTCTTTTAATTGTAACAGCTGCTTGTTTCCCAGCACTTCCTTCACAGTTAAGAGAAATATTTAAAAAAAAAAACAAAAACAAGCCAACAAAGAAACCTGACAAAACACAACCCAGACTTGAGTGGGAATTACAGAATGAAAGGGCTGGAAAACTAGCTTTGGAAAGTATCTACTTCCTAGACAGTGTCAAACTCTTGAACAGAAAGTTGAGCCCAGGGATGCAGCTGAAGAAAGTAAATGGTTGCTGTAGTTGTGAGCCTTTTTGATCACTTGCTTTCTCTTTGCACAGCGTTGCAAAAGTCAATGAAATCAGACTGGAAGGCTGTTACACTTGCTTCTGAGTGGAAGTTTGAATATGATTTATTTTCATTTTCCAAAGAAAAATAGAAAGGCATGAAGTGTCTTGCCTGTGGTCCTCACTGAGTCCTCACAGAATATCAGCTTCCCCCCTTCCCCTATAAAGTCTTTCCTAGTAGAAAACTCTTGTCATGCAAACTACACAGGGGCTTCAGACTCTCTAATTGAGAGCAGCCTCCAGAGAAGGTGAGGGGATGAGTCCAAAAGATGCTTCTCAACCAAGGTGCAACCTGGATGAAACAAAATTAATCTGCTCCTCATTAAAACACAAGAGATCCTGCTCACAACACTCCCTGCTGAGGAGCTCTCACTCTAGAGCTGTGCTGAAGCCCTGAGCCAGTGCTTATGTTCTACCCCCACGAGCAAGCAGCATTTCTGACCTAATCACAGCTGACAGGGTCTGATTGCACTGCTGCGTGCGCTGCCCTGAGTGCGGCAGCAGGAACTTGAAGAGTCAGCACTCAGCCCAAGGGCACCGTGCAAGTTATCTGCTCTTTTTTCTTCTTACTTTTGGTTGTTGGTTTTTGTTTTGTGGTTGTTTTTTTTTTTTTTGTAACTTCCCAGTCCAGCCTCTGAAACAGAAAAAGAAAAGAAAAACGATACTGAGTTGTCCTTGTTTCTTGGGAAAGCATCACTGCATTTGGTTTAAAACTAGAAGAGGGTAGATTCAGACTAGATACCAGGAAGGAATTTTTTACAATGAGGATGATGAAAGTCTGGAACAGTTTGCCCAGAGAAGCTGTTGTCGCTCCAGCATTGAAGGTGTTCTGAGAAACCTGATCTAGTTGAAGACATCCTCGCTCAGGGCAGTTGGACTACGTGGCCTTTAAAGGTCTCTTCCAACCCAGACTATTCTGTGATTCTGTGATTATGTGATCACTGTCCCATGTTAGCGTGCCATTGTTATGCTTGAAGTTGTTTGGGACAACAAAGAGATGTTACCCAGCTCCAGCAAGTTTTCTAGCCCTTTCCAAGCCCATAGCCCTGCTGTCCAGCACTCTGCATTTACAAGGTCCTGTTTGATATCTGCAGGCTTTAGCCTACCCCCTGTCAACGGGACACTTCTCGATGTGCACAGAACATCTGCTGCTGCCTTGAAGGAACAGGTCAACGTGCCCTTAATGCCAAGGCTGCCCAACATCAACGTGGATGGCAGCTTCCCACACAACTTCTCAGGTAAGCCTGCTCCACTGCTGCCCCATGCACAAGCTTTTTCCTTGCACAAGGAGCACAAACTGCCTCGTTCCTCAGCCACATCTGGGATCTTGGGTCCATAGCCTGTCGTGAGAATTAGCAGCAAATCTGCTTTGGATTTACTTGGTGGTACTGGTGCTTAGAGATCCATTGGAAAATTGAGCTGAATAAAGTAGTGGTAAAGGCTGAAGTTCTGGTTTTTCCCATCCTCGTAGTCTAAAATAGAACACTGGTGCCAGGAGGCAGCTGTAAGTGCAGTGCTGGGCTCCAATGCAGTCTGGCAGGGTGTCCTCACTGTGCACCTATGAGTACCACCGCGATCAATTGTCCACGCACCAGCTTGGCCCTCTGCCTGTGCTGGCTCTCCAGCCAGCTTTTCTGCTATCACAGCAAGGGTTGTCTCTACCTGGAAATGAGGGACTTGATACAATCGTGCTGTTGCACCCAGAAGTGCATAATGGCTTCCAGCCACTTCCATCTCACTGCCTGCAAAGGAAATCGGGAGCAAAGCAGTGCTCTTCCTCTGTCACCTCACCCAAATACAGCAGCTGTGTGTAGCAGATGACATACAGGACAGGCTGCCTGATGCTCCCAGACTGCTTACTGCCTGCAATAAATATACAGCAGATAGTCCATAGTAGTTCTTGCCCCTCCTTTGTGGTAACCTGCCTCGTGTTAGGATCCTGAGCAGGGTGCATAAGAAAAAGGGAGGTAGGAATGATACTTTGAATGCTCTTGTCTAGTGACGCTACTTCAATTTTCCAAAGTGACCATAACTAGCCTGCTGTGGCCCTCCATTCCTATTGAATATAGATGTGTATATCTGCATACTTGTGCAGTGACATCACTGATGTCAGTGACAGTGATACATCAGTGACATCCAGATTAGCTCCCATCTGAATATTTTTGATTTTACAGTTCCTCCATACTTTGTAGAACATGCAAGGTAGCATAAAACCCCTGCAGAGTCTATACCAGTTCATCTAGATTCTGTGCAATATTTATACTCAATACTTTTAGACAGCTCAGATGTTTCCATCTACACTTTAGAAAATGAGCTTTTGAGTGCAAGACATGAAATTTTTGGATCGCCAGTGCTTTTGATGACAAATGGGTTCCATAAGAAATGTATTTATCATCAAGAGAGTGCGTTTGCCAACAATTTGCATCTGTATTTACATATTTTTATTCTCAGTTCACATTTGGAAGGTTTTTTTATCACAACTATCTAGACTAGAAATTGCATTTTTCCATAAGAGAAAGCTTAGGCATTGTACAGTTTGCAAACAAGTACATTTGATGACAAATAAATTTCACCTCAGCATCTTTGAAATACAGCCAGTGGGTACCTGGGAAATAGTAAATATTTGTAATGCTTGGAAAATAACAAAATCCATAAACTACTACTTTCCCAATAGTATGCTAAAATGGAGGTGCACTCAGCTGCCTGCTGTCAGTAATATTTGAAGGAAATGGAAACAGAGGCACTGTCAGATTTTTTTCCTCAGAAATTTACAGAGCTGGGACATTACGGAGATGAGACAAGAGAGACACATGCCCACCTGAGGAGCTTACTGCTGGGGTAGCACGTCCTGCTGGGCACCGCTGTCTCCCAGTGAGTGTGAGCCCTGTGGCACTATGAACCTGCTGTGGTACCTACATGAACCTGGGAGCCGGTGCTGTGGGTGCAATTTTCAGGTTTACACAAGGAGATGGTGCCCAGCTGGGGGTGGCTGGGGAGCACTGGATGCTGGGGAAAGCAGTGAGCCAGACAGCAGTGAATTCTCCAAAGCAGTGCCAGTTTGCACCCATGTGTACTCTTGGCTGGGAGACTGGGCTGCTGCCTGCTCCGAGGCAGGGTGTGTTGCCGGGCTATGTAACACTCGTGTCTGACCCTCTCCTCATAGTGAACTCAGAGATGGCCATTGGTCTGGAGCGCAGAGAGGAGCCAGGACGTGGGAATGCCCAGGAAGGCAGACCCCCTTCTGACCCAGAGCAGCTGTTGCTCAATGCACTCACGTGGCTCAGCAGCGACAACTGGTAAGAAAGTCCCCTGTTCCCTCAGTGTAAAGGCAGGTTAGAAGTGTATTTTTGTAGTGCCTCTGAGCCCAGACAGCCCAGAGGTGCAAAGGGGACTAGTGAAACCACTCCAAAGCAGTCAGAGTATAAAGATGTGAGAGCAGCCTTCTATTGGCCTTGGTCTGTAGCAGTGCTCCAGCTGCAGCAGGTCTGTGCTGTTTCCTAGTTTTGCTCTCTGCTCCATGGAGCTGCAGGCGTAATCTACAGGGAAGAGGGAAAGCTGCACAACAAGGTGATTTGCTGGCTGAAGCCAGAAGCAGGATGGAAGCAGTCTTGAGTTTAGAGATTTGGGTGCCTCAGGTCACCGGCCCAGGTGGGACTGAGTAAGGATTTATCTCTGGTCCCACTGCTGGCAGCAGTGGCCGAAGACAGGGTCTCCCTGTGACCTCCTGCATGTCCCAGGCACACCTACAGGGAGTTTCTATTTCTTAGGAAGGGACTGAATTGTGGGATAGGATTGCTCAGCCTGTCCTTTCTCCTGAAGGGCTCATGGCAGAAGACAAGGAAAAAGAAAAAAACATCCTTTAGGAATCTTGCACTTTTAGAATTAAACCTTTTGCTTCTCACTGCTTAATATGGGCCTGAAATGTTTTGTCAATAGTCACAGTGTTTCCTGAAATTAGACACAGACAGGAGTAGATCTGTAGAGGCCTAGAAGTGATGACTTAAAAATTTCAGGTGATATTGGTTGTCTTTTTGATTGCGGGATTTGCATCTGCTCACTAGGATTCCATTCACACAGGGATAACCATGAAAAATCATCCCTGATGCATCTCCTTATGCAGTTGCTTTGTTTTGCCCCTCTTCCATTACTCTTTGATGTGCTGTGAGATGCAGAGAATTGCTGCAGGTGTGGGGGCTCCGGGTTACACTCAGGGCCCCCCATGGGATGAGTCCCCAGTCTGTGCTGCAGCCCTGATGGCTGGGTCACGTCCCTTCCTGTAGCTCAGGTCCTGCACAAAGCAAGTGCTGATAGAGGCAAGCTTTTGCCCCTTTTAAATAAGGTGTTGGTGTTGTGGCTGCTATTTTAAGTCGGGATTTTCTGGAAAATCCAGCATTTCAGCTGTTCTTGCCTGCGTGTGAAACCTTTTGGGACATAGTGCTGCTTTATGGGGAGTGTGTGGGATGGGGTGGAGTGGCTTGGGTGACAAACAGGACTAGATTGCAGAGTGGAAACTCAGCTATGGAGAGGCAGTGCAGCCTCTCACTCTTGAACTTTGCTGGGGATGGCAGAGAAGAAAAATGCCCCAGTAACAGGCTGACAGGATTGGGTCTCTGGGACAGGTACAGGGAGGGTGCAAGGAACAGCAACATGGCATAGTCTCACAGCTTCGTGGAAGCAGTGACATAGGGACTTCATGTGCCAGGGATTTCAGAAGGGCTGTCTTGTTAAATGGTCACAAATGAACCCATCCAATCTGAAATCCATCTATTTGCCTTTTGGATTTGTGAATGCTTTTGACAGCCACAGCATCCTGCGGCAACGAGTTCCATGACTTAATTAAGAGCTGTATGAAAACCACCTCCCTTTGTTTGAGCTGTAAGCCTGGTCACTTCAGAGGATGCAGCCTAGTTCTTGGGTGGTGAGAAAAATCAGGTTTTTTGGTTCTTGCTTTTCAGGGAGCTGAAGGAGAAGGGACTCCTCAACATCAAATGCCTGGCTGTCTCCCATTCAAAAGTCCTTCTTTGCAGACTTCGTGAGGTTTCCTTGGCAGTCACCAAAGAGGTAAGAACATTGTGCTGAATTTTGTCCCACATACATGGTGTGTATAGTGAATATGTGCTTGTTCATCTGCATTTGTGCTCAGTGTCTCCCTTCCTTACTATTTTTAGACTTTTTTTTCTAATGGCTGTCACCAATCTATATGATCTGTCTGTACATATAGCTATATTCAGTGGTATGTATGTGTACCCTACATTGCTGGCATGTAGGGTATCTGACACCCCTCTCTTTGAGCTGGGTGCCATTATAATGCAATATACAAATGCAGAAACTGAGGCACTAATTAGGTTATTTACCACAGCCCAAATCTCTGCCCAAGCTGCGATTAAACACTGCAGTTTCCCCCTGCCATCTTCCTCCCACTTTCTCTTCCTCCTCAGCATCCTGGGGGATTGACTGCAGGTCTTTAATTTCCAGTGTATCCTGATGATGGCTTCCTTTCTGTGTGCTTTTTTGTAATTTACCCTTTTCCTTCCTCTATTGCCTCTGTGCACAAGTGGAATTTTGCACAGTGGCCTGGCTGGGGGATTCGATTCCCGGTCAGGGCCACTCCCGGGCAGGTGGAGCTCGTTAGCCCTTAAAGGCAACCCATCTACGTCCTGAGGACCTCGCTGCCACCGTCCAAGCTCGCTTGGCCCTGGCAGATGAACCTTAGGATTAAAGGGTGGGCTCAGTTCCGCGCACACTGTGTCTCACCTAAAAAATCCAATGCGCAGGCTGGAAGGTGGAAAGACCTTCCCCGGATCTTCGCTTGCGAAGACTGGCCATTATTATTATTATGTACATGTATTCACTACATCGTCTCTAAGTCAGGACTGGGATTCTCCCACTCTGAGATCATCAGGGCAAGGAGTAGAAGCCCTTTTAGCTTATCTCATCTGGTTTAGTATATCACTTTTATATTTCAGAAGAAATGTGATCCTCTCTGTTCTACACACTCATATGCAGAGACATCTTTCAGCTTTCATTTCACTCCAGTTCCAGATTTTGCTCTCACAAGCACTTGTAGCACTTTGTTGTTAATTTTTATCAGGAGGTACAGCTAAGTGTGGGACAAAAAACCACTGGTCTATCCTTCAAAGTATCTTTCAAATGAAGCACATGACTCTCAGATGCTGCTTCCTTAACCTGGTGGGAGAGCCTTTTGGAAGCGGGGAGTACTCCAGGTCTGAATGGAGCAGCAATGAAAGCTGTGAAACCCCACTGATGGCAGCTGGAATTGCATGTGATCTCCAGGATCCAGGAGTGCCCTGAGGCCAACAGCTAGGCTTCTCCTGAGTCCACAGAGATGCAGATGCACTCAAGTCCCTGCAGCAAGTTAGGCTGCAGACTTGAGCCTGTGCTTTTTGTTTTCTGGCTGAGTGCTTAAGCTGCTGGTGTTGCTTTTTTGAACAGCAGAAAAGTCCTACTTTTTTTTTATCCTGTCTTTATGAATTGTGCTTTTATGGTTTGAAATCAGTCCTTGCTTTCATTTGTTTATTTTTATAATAAAAGAGTGTAAATCCAAGCACTATACACCATGAGTCAAATAGCACACTTTGTTTTAGGTGTAATAATATTTATAGGCCTGCAGTAAGTGGGCCTGAGGCCAGAGAAGTTGTTGGCACCAGAGTAAGTACCTTTCTGTGCATGTGGTCTTCTGCTCCTACTGTGCTTTTGTCTTCCTCTGGACACAGTGAGAAGTCTTGTAGTTCTCTGGGACTTTTGTCTAGGGGAACTGATTATCTTTACAGTGGGATAATTGTTTCCCCTCATGACTTCCCCAGGTGACCAATCTCCGCTCCAAGGTGTCTCACTCTGCAATCGTCACTCTTGGAGAGCTCTTTGTGACCTTGAAGAAGGACATGGACTCTGAGGTGGATGAGGCTGCTCGGGTCTTGCTCCAGATGGTTTGGAACCCCTCTGAGTTCCTTCAGAAAGCAGCCAGTCAGACCCTGGGCATCATGGTGGAGAATGTGACTCCTTCGCGAGCATTGACTGCTCTCCTGGATGGAGGCCAGTATGTTCATCTTTTCCAAATGATATTCTTCACCTTATATTGTGTGGGTGGGGGAAAGGATGAAAGAAAGAAGGGGAATGATGGGAAGGAAGGGTCCTTTATTCCACATCTTCTTTGTACTTGGTGACTAGATTCTCCAATCAACCTCACTTCCTTCCTCTTGTCTCCTCCTTCTGTCCTTACAACTGTTTGTTCTCACAGTCTGTCAGCATTGTCTAGATGTGGTGAATGGTGGAGAAGTGAAAGTCCCTGCAGGGCCTAAGGGTAGAGCCTTGTGGTGTTGTGGGAAGAGGGACAATTTCAGTTCCATCAGCAAGCACCCTTTGATATTTCACACTAACCACAGAGGTGCTGGGAAAAGCCAGGCATCATCATGATGCCATTAACTTGAACAATAAGGAGGGTCATTGCTGTGACATGGAGCATGTGGGGGAGGGCGTGCTGGGTGTGGCACAGCCTGCACAGCAGGCGCAGCTCCTGCCAAGAGGAGCCTTGTATGACTGCCCTGTCCTTACAGCTCTGCTTTCTCTTCAAATGGATGCTTCATGTTAGGAGATGGTGAATCCCTTTACAGGCACCTTCACAGGCTGACTCCCATGGGATAGCTGAACCAAATGCTGCCTTAAAGTATTGGTGCTGTGCCTGACAGTTTCCAACAGGCACCCTCTAGGACAGGACAGGACAACTTGGCTAAAATGACTGCCACCCTTTCCTCAGTTTTGGAAAAGGGTAAAACTTTCAAACTTATCTCTTGCCAAGCCTCACAGAAAACTGGCTGCATTGCTGGATATTCCCCAACAGAGGGGAAGGTTAATGTTAATTTACTGTGTGAATAAGGTTCATAGAATCACAGAATATGCTGAGTTGGAAGGCACCCATCAGGATCCTTGTGTCCAACTCCTGGCCCTGCACAGGACACCCCAAGAATCACACCATGTGCCTGAGACCATTGTCCAAACGCTTCTTGAAGTCAGACAGGGCTGTTGCTGTGACCACTTCCCTGGGTTGTCTGGGGAAATGACTGTACTGGGTAACATGAGGTTGTCTAGCAAGGACCATTGCCCAATTCCTGTGACTTGAACGATGCTTTCTTGAGATCAAAACAGTTGAGATTAATCAGTCAATGTTTGGTCTTGTGCGTAATTCAAAGCTGAAATGTTGGCCGCTGTTCCTCACTGAAGGATCCCAAGCATTTGTTTTTCATAAAGTTAGGACTGTCCTAGAAAAATTCCCGGTGTCTTTAGCCAGTGTATTTGGTCTTTCTAAACCTTGTCTTCAGATCTGTATAATGCTTTTGTCTGTGGCTGAACAACCTCCGGATTTCTTCTTGAAGAGAGCTATAGTTTCCTAGTAGCAAAATCAAACCAAACCACCAAAGGCCCCTTACTTTGATGATTAAATTCCCATCACTAGCTGCCAAGAACACACGAGCAGCTAGCTGCCCATGAGCATATATACAGTATAGGATAATCAGTAGAAGCATGTGGGGATTTGTCCTGGCTTCTCTGCCAGTTAAAGAAAGGTAAATTATTGTGCAGTGGCAGCAAGACACTGCTAATAAGCTCTGACAACACAGCAGATGTGCTTTGCTTGTCCCCTGGGATCCCTCAATCCTGCAAAAGCATACCCACAATGTCAGAGTGAAGTTGTATTTTTCTGTTGCCCCATGTTCTCCTCTTGCCTCTTGTGTTCATCTGACAGCAACGCGCAGTGACAGGTGGAAGGAAATATCTCTCTTTGCAGGAAAGGGAATGCCTTCTCATGGAAGTATTGCACCCCAGGAGTTGAAAGTATCAACTTATTCTGTTAACACTTTTCCTTTGTTATTCACAAGAGAGAAAAGACAGTCATAGTCTCCATGAATTTCTCTCTTTCCTGTGGTAGGTGCTATGGAGGTTGCTGTGTATGCTGATAAGTCATCAAAAATTTAATAGGCTTTTGTAAAAATTTGTTTCCACACGTGACTTGAATGATATTCGGGCAAGAATTAAGAAGAAAGTAAGTGCTTGTCAGGAGAAATGTTTCCTTCATGCAAGTATTGAGATTGCTAATATGAGATCAGATGCTAACCTTTCTTTATCTCATTTCTCTTCTGCTGAATCATTTTGCTCCTGGGAATGAACTGTTTTTCCTCAGCTTGTTTATCTACAGACAACAAAGGAACTAATATTTTTAGAAATACAGTGGAGTTTTGAATATTTTGAATATCAGCCACAAACAGGAAAGGGAAATAGGAGAAAATGTGTTTACATCTAAACATAACCCCCCCGCCCTTATCCCTCCCTTGCCCCCATAAAACAATTAAGTGAGAACACTGCTTCTGGAGATAATAGAGTCTTTGCAAAAGATGAAGGAAGTAGTAGTGCCAAGACTATTTCCAAATATACAAAAGATGCACAAGGCAATCATAATTACTACAGTTATTGTCTGTCTTCTGGGAATACTGCCCTGCTGTCATGCCCTGTGGAGCTGGAAGAAGCTTGGTGAATTCAGAAGCATCCACTGGAAAATCATCTGTTTGTTTTGGGTTTTTTTTAGTTCCTTTTCACTTGCATTCACATTCTGGAAAGTAATGTCCCATTGTGCAGGACTAGGGAGAGGGAGTGTGAACCAAATCAATTCCCAAGACAATGGGCTGGCCTCCAGAGCGTCCAAAGTTTTCTGCTGTTCCCTTTAAGAGCCCTTGTTCCCTACCAGTTTGCATTATTCCCATTTATGCTCAAGACTAATGAACTCAGGATTTTCTACTGCTGCTCATTATGGTAGTGTCTATAACTTGCCTTGGGTTATTGAAAACAAATAGTTGGCATCACTGACTCTCTAGCTTGTCTCTTTCTGTAAGTTAGGAAATATTTTCCTAAGCCCTTCCTGGTAGCAGTGATCCTGGTTATAACTTGTGTTTTAAACAAGTAATTTCCAATTTTATCTTCTAAAGATTCATGGTTTTCTCTATGTCTTTGTAGGGGATAGAAGACCATGAAGGTGAACCTCCACCTGTTGAGAACCTCAGGAAGAGAGGGAAAAATGACTTGATGCCCCAGGCTAGAATGCCTTCTTGTGGAAGGTACTGAGCACTTCTGATAGATCTGACAAGGCACATAACAAGCTTTACATGTCTCTTCCTCAGGAAAATCTTTCTGGTAGAGATGATCTGTGCCCAAAATGGTTTCCTTTCCCTACAGATCTTCCATGGTAAAAAATGTGTATTTCTGCCTTATGCTGAAGACAACTCTTTTGAAGGGTTTTCCACAAAAATTGAGAGAAAGAGACACCCTCTGGCTGCATCTCAGAAGATCCAGTGCAGTGGTGATGAGGACGGTGTTGTGGAGGCTGTGAAAGGGTCATGCCTCTGCTGCCTGACTTGGGACAAGTAATTGGAATCATGAGGGGTTTTTTATCTGAGTGGAGTCTTTTAGATGGGTGGTTTGATGAGAAGTCCCAGTCTAGAACCAAGATACCATTTTCAAAAATAGCACTTCCCATGCTGAATCATGATTTTCTGACCCTCAAACGGTACCGAGTTTGAGCAGTAAGTAGCAACTCAATTCCTGAGCAGTTCTGGTTGACAGATTTCTCCCTGTGGAATTTTTCTCTAGATATTCATGTCGTTCCTGCTGTTTGGTTGATGGAGAGAATGTTGTTTTTCTTTCCCCACCCCCGTGCTACAATCAGCATTCAAGACAGGAATTTGGTCCTTGGCTGTCTCCTCATGCCAGTGGGAGACCTACTTGTACCAGTTCTCCTCTCATAACAGAGGGGATTTATTTATGTTGTGCTCAGCAGTGGCAGAAAGATGACCACATGCCTCACTAGCATAGTTAGTCATTCCTCTCACGGAAGAGAGCGGTTGATCCAAGAGAATTGGTCCCAATGGGTTTGTTCAGCTGTAGATCCAGTCTTTAGGGAAGCAAAAAAGTGAGCATAGTGATGGGATGTCTGGCTTCTGTTTTTGTTACTGATTTTCTGGGTCCTTCAGACATGCCCCTATTCATCTATTTAGATGCATCTGAGTTATTTTTCCAGATTGCCATATCCCAGTGTAGAGAGACTTCCATATGATGAAGCATTTAAACATGGAAGTAGTGTCTGTCTTTCCCCACAAAGCAGTGCTCTATGTGTGCTTGGGTAGACCTATGAAGATAAATGAGGTGCATCTCCTCCTTGGTTTTCCTGAGTAAGCACCAGTGAGAATGTTACTTGCAGATTGTCTCCTGTAATTCTTGTCGTGAGATCCAAGTTGTTTTTCAAATCAGGATCTAGCTGAAATCACATCATTAGGAAGCCTCCCCAAGAGGTTCTCCTCACAATTAACTGAAGATGTTATCACCAGCTGGTCTTGGTTTTATTTTCCAGTTTGGAGTCTTCCTCTGATGTACCCTTTGCACACAGTTCAAAAGTCCATCTGATGTCACTTCCAACTGTGGAAGAAACAGAGACACTCCAGAAGCTTTATGATCTCCTGACAGCCCAGGACTTTCAGACACGAATAGAGGGAGTGGCCCTCCTCCTGGATCTCTGCAGAAGCAGCCACAGGCTCATCTCCAATAACATTGTCCAGGTATGTGGGGTATCTCCATTGCTAATTTGCTTTAGCTCCTTTCCCAAGCCTGTAGCATTGAAGTTAATTCACTGTGTCTCGGTGCTACGTCCGAGTTGTTTGGGACAGACCGGTCCCTCTTACCCAGAATAATTTAATTCAGTTCCAGGCTTCAGGACAAGTCCTTTCAGTCCAGATGTATTTCTCTGACAGGTGCCTATTGGTGCTGTTCATGAGACGGTGACAGAATTTACTGTTGCTGTAGCTTCTGCTGTCTCCTACTCCCATTTGGGTTAAGTAAAGGAAATCCAGCCGCTGAAAACGTGGCAATTACTCCCTAGATCAAAATGGGATGGGATGGGATGGTAAAGACAAGTGTCAGGTTGGGTTGGTTTAAAAAATTTTTTAAAAAGGATGCTCCTGTGAACTCTGTCTCATCTTTCACAGGCACAGCTTTGCTACTTATTCCTGTCCTCATGCCTTTTCTTCTTGGGAGAGACTGTTCTCATCCTTCCTGGGGGCCCTTTTGTCTCTTTTTAAAGAGCAGGAAAATAGCTAAGGGCAGAAGTTCTCTTCCTTCTGCTCCCAGTAGCTGCTTTTCCCCCTTTTCCAGAAAATGGTGGCTGATAATGGGACTGAACCTGCTCTAATGAGAGCTGCACAGCACATTAAACTTCAGAAGTCTCCTTGTTAGTTAGAAAAATGGTCTGGATCCTGAAGAGTCTGCACTTCTCTAGACACAGGTTCTGAAACAGATAAAACAGAACTTGCATCTCAGCTGGCCACAGTTTTGCCAAAATCATCCTCTGTACTTGAGGCAACTGTAGGGGAAAATGGTTTCATACTTTTCTATAACAAGAGTACTGGTTTTCATTAATCAAATGGGATTAATTTAATGATTTATAGGTGAAGAGAAACACCATAGGAACTCTACTGTCCCCACCCAAACCTCTTAAAAACGTATGAAAATCTTTCAACCAGCCTGAGGTTGCTCAACCATTCCAGAGAGCAGCCCACAGGGAAACAGCAAGCACTGACCTGACAGAAAGGATTACTTTCATCTTTTACATTGCTGAGTACTCGTTTCTACATCCCTTCTTAAAACAAAGACATTTTAATACAGCTTTCATGCCTTTTGTTTTCTTCACAAATTTTTGATTATTTTGTCCCGAGGCTTTGCAATTACAACAAGAAAGTGAAGCAGCAGGCATTGGAGGCGCTGCATTTGATGATAGTCATGCTCAGAGATGCCTTAAACCCAGTGCTGATTCGTCTGGTGGAAGCAATCACCAACAATCTGAACTCAAAGCACTTGGGGATTTATGGTGCAGCTGTGACAGCACTGGAAGCATCCATTGTTCACCTAGGTAAGGCTGACCTCTGACTTGGACCGTCTTCACCTGTGGCTTCTCCCTCTCGTTCCCAAATGAACACTGACTCTGTACGTAGCTGTTGTTGTCTGTGGAAATAATCCAGCTGATATGCATCAGAAGCAGTGGTGGTGCAGTCCTTATGCACCAGGCTCCCCAAACAGGCTTGACTGTGTATCAGCATTTCCCCAAAGTTCCAGGAGCCTTTGGCTCTGTGCTGCTTGTCTGCTTTGGTAGCGGAGGAGCTGAACAATAAATCCTGGACTACAACTTTGCTAGAATTCAGGGACAAAGGGATTTTTGGAGCTTGCTTGAGCCCACTTTGACTTCCCAAGTTGCTTGGGAATTGCTTTGCTGTTGGCATGAAGGGACACTGGCCCATCAGAGCTTCTGCAGAGCGGCCTTCTGGAAGGCTCTGCGTTACAGGCATTAGTTGGTCCTGTCTATTTTTCACCTTTTTTCTTTGTCTTCTTTTTTCAAAGGGAATTTATGATTTGCCGACTTCATTTCTTTAGAACAAACAGGTATAAATCCAGCTGTAAATGATGGCTTGTTCCACACATTGTTCTGCATGGGGCAAGATCACAATAGCAAATAACTACATAGCCAAGGTCTGCTGTAAATTCCTTTGCCACACAGATTTATGTCAGCTGTGAAAATGCAGCACTGGGTGAATATGTCTGAAAAATTTAGTGTTGAAGAGGAAGGTCTTAAAGAGGAGTTACCAACTTTCTACACATCCCCTGCTTTGCAAACTCATTGAATTTGCTGACTCCCTGTCTTTCTGTGTGCCAAGTACAGCGTTATTCCTGTTCATGAAGTGGGCAGAAGGGTGTGAGACCTGTCCTGCTCTTGGTCCTTACCCATTTTTTTGTGGTGCACAGGAGAAGGCTGAGAAAAAGCTGCAGAATCCTGCTAACAGAGGATGTGGCAAACAGATCCCTTCAGGGTTTTGCGTGGAGCTTTCTGTCATTCCCCTCTCACCAACTGTGAGATCACTGTAAATTTTCTGTGGTGGCAGATACCAGAAGAGGAGCAAGGCACATCTGTCTCTCATCAATGATGACCTTATCCAAAGATAGGTTCAAGCAAACAAGGTGGAATGTATTTTTTTCAGTTCTGCGCTTTTTTATGGAAGTTTGTAAAAATTCAAAGAAGCAACTGAATCACAAATATTTCAAAATTCATCGCCTAGGGCTTTAGTGGGGGAAGGAAGTCTCTACTGAAAAAATGCATGAGCGAAATCTCCCCATGCACTTTAAAACTGTCTGCCATTACAAATTAAAATCAAGTGTCAAATGACAAGAAACCTCCCAAACTCTAAAGGGTCGTGCAACACTGCTGTCCAAGGGTAAGTGAGCAAAGCACACGGTCCTGCCCCATTGCTCCACTGAGCTTCACAGCTAAAAGCCCAGCTATTGCTCTAAGGCTCTGAGCCTCAGATGCTGAGTTCTGGATGAGACTTCCTCATCTGTCCTGCCCTGTCCTTTGTCTTGAAAGACATCTATCAGATGGCCACTGCCTGATGCCAAGGCATGGAGACGGGCCAACAGCCCACACAGCTCCCAGAGCAACCAGCCCTCTGCAAAAGGGGAAGGGAAATTTTCCCTGTGGGTGTTAAGGTAGCAGAGAGGTGTCTGCAGTGAAGATGAGGGCACAGACAAGTAGATTCTTCTTCTACCTGTATTGCAAATGCTGGGACCTCTGTCCTGATGCTTGACAGGTTTAGCTGATATGCAGAGCATAGAGTTACAGCTGAGTTCATAAGAACTGAGCTGCTTGCCACCTTGTTTTCTCTAATAGCCATTATACCTCCTCTGTCTTCAGGTCTCTCAAGGCAGGTGAAGTAACAGTTGGGTAAATCGTCTTATTGACTTGAGCTTTATTGTTTCAAAATGCACAGGGCTTTTGAAAAACCTTCAAATGGAAGGTGAAGAGTGGCTGTACACTTGGATTCCTAAGAACCAAGCAAACACACCCAAGCCCTGAGGGTTCCCCTGAAGATCCATGTAGATACCAGTATTAAAGCCTAATTAACAGTTTGTGCTCCTTCAAGATCTCCAGATCTCAGGGTAGTTCTTTTTCCCGAGCAGCAGCTGCAAGGTAACTCTCTGGGGAGGAACAGCAAAGGTGAAACAATGCCTGCCAATACTGCAAGAGCGTGAGGCAAAAAGTGAAGTGTGTGTTTAAAAAGGTGAAGGAGAAAAGTGTAATTACCAAAGCAGAAGCTTAATTAGGATAGCAGGATCAGTTCTTTACTGCATGCTTGCAAGAAGATCATTAGGGACTTTCTTTTTGCATCTCATGCAAAAGAGGAGCTCTTAATAATACAGTGCTACTTAAAACCACTTTGGGACTCACCTCTGTTGTGGTTCACAGAGAAGTAGCTTACCTGCTTTATCACTCCTGCTGACACGGCATCGACACGGTGGCGTGAGGTATCGCAGTGCATCCCATGCGCCTTCTGTCTGCAAGAAAAGCTTGGCTTGGCTTCTTAGAGTGGTAGGACTGCAGGCTTGCAGACCAAGCCAGGCAACAGTTTATAAATTCAAACGAGACCTGCAAATCAACAGTAGACAGCATAGGAAAAAGTAAAATAGGAAAAAGAAAAAGTCAAGTATTGGGAAATCAGTTTGAAATCAGATCTCGGGAGAGAGATTGGAAAACACAGATGTACAGGAGCCCCCAAGAGTGGGGGGCAGTGAGCAGTAAGTTCTCTTGTAAGAGTAACTTGGAGTCTTGTCCATAGATCCCAGCAGGTAACCTGAAGATTTAAAAACAGCTTGTCTTTAAAGTGGGAACGGATGTGTGAAGTTTTGAGCCATCTCACCCTTTTCCTTAGGGAAGGGAGGAGATCACTTCTGCAAAGCCCTGGTATGCAAAACCTTTTCACTTACATATGAGTTGAATGTTGAGGTCCCTGATATGAAATGTTTCACACAGCTCCTGGTACAGCAGACCACTTTGGATTCCCAAATGTGAAATGAGAGCTATTCTTTTTGAATTTCAATTCCTCCCAAGTAAGAAGGAAAGAAGAGAAGGACTCGGAAACTGGCAGAAATTTACTTTTTTTTACAAATTCAGTTGTCTCTGCCCTTTACCTCTCCACCCTCCTTTCTCATATGTCCTCAAAAGATTGAGCAGAAATCAATGCTTCTCTTTCAGATAAATTATCCCTACTGAAAGAGTTTAGCAACCGGATGAGTCAACTTGAGTGGCCAAGCTCTGCTGGATGTCACCGAACGTCTCGCAGGTATCGCCTGCTTCAGCTAAAAGCCACTTCTCAGCCAAGAAGTCTCCAGGGGAAATATTTAGAGAGACTGCCTGTGAATAGACAGTACATTAGCTCATCAAAATCTGGGCTTGTCCCTCCTGCCAAATACACATAAAAGGTGTATTTGGCAGGTTTTTGCCTGGCTGCTGCAGAGGCTGCCTGTGAGATGAGGGCGGTGCTCAGGCTCAGGGCTGAGCCCTCACTGGGGCATCTTAGGACTCTCCTTCAGGAAAGAGAGGGGCTAAAAATACCCTAGCTGGCTCCTCCCTTGGAAGGACAGTACAGTAAAGGTCAGGGAGGTCTGTGAGAGCAACCTTTTCTAAAGCAAACAACCATCCTTTAGGAAAAATGGTGGCAAATGGTATTCTAGGGATCAGGTTGTTTTGTCCTCACAGAATTCTTTTTTTCCTCTTGGAAACTTTTGAGGCTGAACCCTGCAGTGCTTGGTAGGTTAAAACTCAACACACATCTTTCAGGCAAGGATTTTGTGCAAGGCTGGATTTGGGGGTAGGAGAGTGCTGAGGCTCCCTGCCTGTATTACAAAAATGGCATTGGACTCTGAGCATTTCAGGATGTGCAGGCAGCCTGTTTCTATATCAGCACTGTCCGACATGCTACAAACACTGCTGATAATTGATTTCTAATAGTAGCTTGCTATGTCAGCAATAGCCTAGGAATGGAAAAAATGATAATCTTAATATATACTAGAGAAGACTATTTATAGCTTTGCTTTAATTAGGGCTAAATCCATCGCTAATTATGCCAGCATCTTTTAATGCAAGGTTTAATACACTTTGCTTCTTCATTAGGAATCTCAAAAGGGCATGTTCAGCCATAGCGAATGTAAAAGGGCCGTTAAAGATAATTTGAATAAAGTAAACCTCCAGAAATGTTTAATTTTTATTTTTTTAGAATTTATTAGAATTTAGTTTTGCAGCTATTTAAATCTCTTTTTCAAATAAAGTATTTGAACGTAAATTAGGACTACTTTAGAAAGAGCAGATGTTCTCTCTGGGATTTAGTTGGAATAAACAGCTCCCTCTCTTCTGAAGTTTCATAGTGACCGATGTCTTTAATTGCATTTAAACTCAAATTAGCTCCCATTTTAAAATGGGTACCATAACCCTTTTCCTGCTTACCAGAATTGAATGACTGCTGCTAGATTAACAGCATAGAGAAAATGAAGGTTCTTCCACCGCAGAATAAATAAATGGTTACTGCATAACATTTCAGACCATTTCAGGTTTTGGTCTCTCAGCAAAATCTGCCATGCAAGGAGGCCATGGTAGTAAATTTTTGTTCATATTTAATATAGTTCAGTTCAGAAAATGAACAGAGAGCAGACTTCAGAGAGAACATGAGAGAATGCTTGTTTTTTGGTTGAATTTCAGCCCCCCATGTAACATTTTTCTTTCTCTATTCCACTATTTCTGTGCACATTGGAGAGTAAATGCTCTTAACATTGTGATGGGAAATGCCTTTGAAATTGTGAGATGCTCAAATGCCATGGCAGTGGGGTCTGGGAAATTATCTAATACACCCTGAAGTTTGAAACAGCTGTTCATTAGAAGCCACAGAATATGAGAGAAAGAAGAGCTCAGACTTGACCATTCTGCTGAAGACATCAGTTAGTCACTGATGCTTCTAATAGAACTGTCAAGCAGCACCCACCTTTTATGGGCTGGAGTTTTGAAGTGCTGTCTAATACTGCCCTTTGCGGTGTGCCCCTGAGCAAAGGGGACCTCCAGATTAGACTTTTGGCATTTTACATCAAGGGCACGAAAAAGTAATCATCCTTTGTATTAGAAATCTTTCAATTAGCTCTCTAAGGTGCATTTCAAAATCTTCAGCAGTGGATTTAGACAACTTCTTAATGGAAGTAAACAGCAGTTTGACATTTGGGTCATTTGTCATGCAGGAACAGACAGTCAACTGATTTAACAAATGTATATGATTCACTTTGCTAAGTCTGTCACAGATACAAGGCCTCTGATTTAGAGAAATTAGTCCAGAGGGGTTGGTTGTTCTGTTCAGTGGGTGATCATCTGCTCTGCCCATTTCTGGATCACTGGGCTCTTTGCTGATATTAGCCAGAAAAGGCTCCCAAGAATCAAACATGTAGGTAGGTACTCATTTGCACGAAGGTTGGTTGTTAAAAGCTTGTCTCTCTTGTCCTGCAGTGCTTCTGGCACGTGTTTATCCCAGGAGCCCTGAAGTTGTCCAGCACTACGCCCTGCCTGTGCTCTGGTCCCTCCTGGGGAAAAAGAGCCAGCCCGTCCGAAGCGCCAACGTCAGGACTGTGGTGGCCAAGCTTGCAAAGGCCCTGCATGAAGCCATGGGCTCCAAGCTGAGGAAGCATGCTGCCAACCAGCCTCAGAATGTGGTAAAAAACCTCTCCAGCATTTTTGGCTGGAAAGTTATGTGAATAAGAGGATGTAGATAGTATTTTGATGTAACTGGCAATAAATGTGTTTTGGTTGTATATTTTTTATTTTGATTATATATTTTTGATTGTATATATTTCATTTTATTATATTTTTTAATTTACAAAATAATAAAATAATTAAAAAAAAAAAGAGATTGAGACGGCCAGACCTGGTAGCATAGAGGATGTGTGGTGAGGTTATCGAAATGCATCTCACTCTACGTGCTGGTATCTCCCCGTATCCTCTCCTCACTGGGCCTGTCCTCTTCCTCCTTTGCCATGTCTTCTTTCTGTCATTTCTTCTGCTATTTGTTATTTGGCATTTCAGTGGTGCCACTTATTTACATGTCTGGGGGACAATGTACCCAAAAGATCCTGCACAGTCTAAAGTTTTCTAACGAGATGTATTCTGTGCTCACAATAGACCCGAGCAAAGAAACAAAGAAAACTTGGCCCAAATCCCAAAGCTTTGCTCATTTGCAATCTGAGACATCTCTGGCTCATAGCTGTCCTCAATCGCAATTTTATATGTAAGAAGAGGACACATCTTTCAGTGGGAAAAGATGCACTGCTTTGGGATACACATATATATTTACCCAGGACAGCAGTCAAGTGGCGGTGTTTGTAACTTGTTTGCAGAAGGATGAGTTGACTGTGAGGCCAGTAACAGGTGAGAAGGGTTTCTCAAACCTATTTATACTCCAGCCTGGGTGCCACTCAGGCCAGAGCTATGTGATAATTTATTACCATGGACCAGCACTTTCCAGCGTAATGAATTCCTGCATAGCTGGAACAAGCTCTTCTGGGTTCAGCTCCAACTCCCAGTGGACTGCGTGATCATTGACAATGCTGCCTTTCAAGAAATTACTTAGCAGCTTCATTTCATAATCATTTGAATCTTTTAAAGTTTCATTTTCATTTGCTGTGCCTTAGGGAAAAACACTTTACAGAGCAGTGCAAACTGTAACATTCTGACAGCACAGTCTGCATTGTTGCCAGTTTCTGGTGTTACAGAAGAAAATGCACATGTATGTGTTAATTAGGTTTTCTGAAGGAAAAAATCTACTTCATGTGGCTTCATGTTTTTGCTTAGTTCTGCATCTGGTCCTGGCCTAGAAAAGCCCAGGCAGAGTAGCATGTTGCAGGGAAGAAGAGACCGTGAGCTTACGGGGTTGCCTTTACCAGCAGAGTGAATGCGTTCTTTTGGGATTTCCTAGGAGACAAAATTAGGGACCAGCTCCCTGCCCCAATATTTTCTCAGATCTTTTTAAAATATCACAGTAAAGGCAGTGAAACTTTACATGTGCCTGCACACCCACTGTTTGAATAGGGACATTTTTGGCTCTCCTTAAAGTCATTGCTCTGGCATACCAGAAACATTTCTTCGTCTTCAAACAAACATGAATGATGCATGGTCCTCCTGATGATGCTTCAAAGTCCTGGTAAGTGCTTGGCTTACAAAACTGAATTTCGATATAGGTGGGGTCTTGGCTCAATTTTATGCAAATTTAGGAGGAAAAGAAAACCTGAGATAAGAAGCTTGAGATAACTGGCTATGTTGATGCCTGTGCTAGTTTTCTGCCGAACTTTTTGCTGGATTGGCTTGTCATCCCCAAATGAGTGGGTGGGAAGTACTCAACCCCTGTGCTGTTGTCTTTGTATTTCTGGAGCGTATCAGGCTTCTGGTAAGCATTGTCCAAAGAATAGAGAAACTCCCACAAGTCCTAGTCTCCTTTGTCCTGCAAGGAGTCCAAGTTAAACCTACATAAGGATTCTTAAAATATTAAGAGTTTATTTTTAAGTGTTATTAAGTTTATTTGATGAGTACCTTTCTATTTTTACTGGTGTGTAAACAGCCTCTGAAAAGGTCACAACATACGTGTTACATACATTTCCACATGCTGTAGTCATGATAGCATCAAGTATATTTGATGTGGAAGAATTAATGGTTTGCTAATCTAGAGGGTTTTCTCTTCAGGACATACTGGCTGTTCCTTACTGATGAGACATGACAGTAAGAACAGGTTACTTTATCTCTGTGTTGTGATCTCTTTTCTTCTAATAGCAAAGGTCATAGCTTCTCAAAATATCCCCTTGATGATAAAACTTCATAAATGAATATGAAATGCCTTGGATGTTTAGAGATGTGACACTGCAAATGCTGTAATACGCTGTGTTTTTTGATAACCTGCATAGCTTTCTCAGCCATACTGCTAATCACAGAACCGCAGAATATTCTGAATTGGAAGGGACTCACAAAGATCATCAAAGTCCAACTCCTGGCCCTGCACAGGACAGCCCCAAAAAATCCCACCATGTGTCTGAGAGCATTGTCCAAATGCTTCTGGAGCACTTCCCTGGGGAGCCTGTTCCAGTGTCTGACCACCCTCTGGGTGAAGAACCTTTCTCTAATATTCAACCCAAATCCCCCCTATACAATTTCAGGCCATTCCCTTGATTTCTGTCACTGGTCCCCAAAGAGAAGGTATCAGCACCTGTCCTTCCTATTCCCCTCACAAGAAAGCTGTAGACTGTAATGAGGTCTCCCCTCAGTCTCCTCCAGGCTTTCTGAGATAGTTCTTGAAGCCAAATAAAGCAACCGTAGTCTGTGCAGTGCTTTGGTGTTCTAACCATCTTCACATGCTGAGGGCATGAAATGACAAGCCCCTTGAAGGTCTGAGATTTGAGCAGTGTCACTGGAAACAAGGGCAGCTACCAACTTGTTAAAGGTCTGCGGATAAAGTGCAGCACAGAGCTGTTGGCTGCTCTTTTCGCAGCTGTGAGCCTTGGCTGGGAAACTGGTACTGCTTCAGTCTATGCTCAACACCTCTGCAGTCCGACTCCACTGCAGCCAGTGCACTCTGATTTTAACCCTTAGGACAAAGCCACTGCCCCTTGCTTGAGTTAGCTCTGGTTGTACATAGAAGCTCCACTGAACTGAGTACAAGACTGCCAGTAGCTCAAGCTTAAATCAGGGCAGGGAAGGGTTGGAAGCGCAGTTGAGCTATGTCAGTGCCTAGGCTGGATCCCATAGCCTAAAAATAGACATATTTGCTTCATGAAAATGCAACTAAATTAAGTGATGTACCAGCAAAACACAAAAGAAGGCAAGCTTATGCTGGGGTGGGGAAGGAGAAAGTAGATGGACCTTTTATAGTTCAGTGCACTTAGGAAGGAATAAGTAGTATAACATGGGGGTAAGATTGAAGCTGGTTGCATACAGAATAAAAGAGAAATCAAATTCATACCTTGTATATAAAAACTTATTTATTTACGACAGTAAAAAATAAATGTTAAAGTTGAATACTGTTTTATAAAACAATTGTATTCCAGAAATGTTGTATTTGTGAAAAATGGAGCTGTTGATCAAAAAAAGGGTTAAAAAATTTTTTTTAAAAAGGTGAGCCAAACTATCATTTCTTGCATACTATAGTTTCTCTTAATTTCATGCTTGCAATAGAGATTGAAGGTAAACACATTATTTGCAAGAGTCCTGTACATTAACTGGACTACAGAGAATCTGTTAGCTATACATAATCATGAGTTCATGTTACAAACTTGTAGATCACTCCTGGAGAAACTCTGTCTTGCATACAATTTCAGTTTGCTGCAGCGTCCTTAGGGCAGCATAGGAATCCTTCAGCAGCAGCTGCAGTGGAAGGATTGCATTTGCAATGAGCCTCCTGATGACCACAGCCTCTGTCAACAGCTGGAGAAATGCAGTGGTAGGATGCCAGTTCAGGTACCACATCCTGAAGGAAGCCTGGTTTGGGGAAAAGATGCTTTGGCTGACTACATGTCCAGCTAGCACATGTTGTGCTGAAGTGAAGTGTTGGCCCATGTGCTGCTGCAAATTCCACAGAATTTGGTGCTGGGGGGACATACATAAATTCTTTCTCTTGCTGTCCATCATGGGTGCCAGGAAATTTCAGCATGAAGCCATATAGAGATGAACTGATTGTAGTAGCTGAGGAGAAGCTGTCCTCCCACTCTGTTCCATGTTCATCTACAAAGCTGCATTCAGTCATGCGAAGTGCCAGTTTTCTGCTGTCATGTTTCAGGTCTGTTTCTATTCAGGGCGGTTGCGGCCAACAGAACAAGCCAACCCAAAATGCATGGAAAAATGCATTTGTATTCTTATGCAATAGGGAGAGAACTACACTTCTGATGAGAGGGAAGACTAACCTGCAGAGTTAGCCCTGCTGATGATCTTTTCAGTATCTCCCTGGTGATTTTCCAACTTGATAGGGGATGGTGCATCTGCCTGTATGATTACTGGGTGGATCAGTTGGCATCTCGCAGCTGTTCACTATGGGTATGGCTGCTTTGCCAACCTCAAGGTCAAAAACCCCTGACATCCAAAACACTGCAAGTTGCTTCTCTATATTCAACACCCCACCTTGAACATAATAATTAAGGTTTCCTTGTGTCTGTGGCATAAAATGGCACTGAAATTAGTGAAAGACAGTTGTGAATAAGGCACTGGACTAAAACTCAAGAGTTAGTATTCAGAGGGGTCCCTTATGCAACAGATGAGCCTCAGTTCCCCATTCATGAAGGTGGGCAGTTAAAAATCCTGTGTGAAAGCGAAGTGCCCAGACACCACCATGATGAAAGCTGTAAGAAAAATTTAAACTACTCCTAACAAAATATGATACAAAGGGCTTTTTTTTTTTCCTGAATCTTAGTCCATACAAAAGTTGTGTATGAAAACATGTCAAATAAAACTAAAACTACATTAGTTAAAAGTTGCAACTTAATCATGATGATATATTAGTTAGATGAGAAACATCCAGTAACTTCTGAAACTGTATTCCCGAGGATGTTGTTAAAGCTTAGGATTAATTGACTGTAAATAACTTGTGCTTTTATTAAGAAGAATCTGCCTAGACTCTTCGGTGAAATTACAATAAATACCTTCAAGCTGTATAAGTCAGAAAAAAAATATAATACATTTTCAGGGAGAACAGGATTTTCTAGGGTGGCTTTCTTTAATTAAAAAAAAAAAAAAAAAACAACCACACAAAAAACCCCACAAAAAACCCCAAACGAACAAAAAAAAACCCCACCAAAATCCAAGCGTGTCCTTGGATGACTCAGGATTTATAATGTTGTTTGATTGGGCTATTGCAAAACTAATAAGGATTAAGCCTTGTACCCTGGAAACTAGAGGTGATAAGATTATCTGATCATCAAAGGTGATTTAGAAGACCAAAACCTTTTTGAGTGAGTAAGATCCTTAATTTTATTCCTTTAAAAGGGGTTATTTTGTTTTAACTTGTATTTGCCCTTATTCTCTCCCTGCATATTGATAAACACCTAATGCAGAGATGTTGCTTTGATGACACCATTGATGTTTTTTGCAATAATATTCAGTTGGTTCAGGGTTTTACCTCACCCTGAGAAAAGTCACAACAGCCCCTTTTTTACACAAACTGTGATGCCTCCTGAATAAATAAGATGTTGACTAATGATCCCTTCTAATAGTTTTTGAACTTGTCTATCTAAACCATGAGAAAAAGGACTTGGCTAAGGCCTGGTCGTTATGAACCAAATTTGCCACAGACTCACCTGGCTACAGTGTTTCTTTTGCTCCATGGAGATCTTTGAGTTAAACCATGGATGAAAAGAGAAGCAGCTGGCTGGTATTTTGTTAGGTTGTTGGGGACACTTGAGTTTTTGATGCAACGCCATCATATATTTTCCTTGCGAGAGAAGATGAAGCCACGTTTTGCAGGCTTGGGTAAGGCTGCTTCTTCTCTCTAGGGCCTCTGGCCTTGCTCATTCCTCTGCCTTCGGAAAGGGCTTCTGCTGTCAGTCCCTCTGCAGCCCCTGGCCCACGATGTAGAGGTCAGGGTGGGAAGCGGATCTGTTGGAGTCTTTGATTTCAGGAGCACAAGAGTTGTTCCAACAATCACTTGCTTTTCTAGGGCTCTCCTCCAAGCTGCAGAAGGAAAGATGCTTAAGTTAAGAGGCTAATGAATAGTGACTTTTTAAAACAGTGCTGATTAGACCACATTAACCCACAAAGGAAAATGGTGACATAGTAACATGTCATTCCCTGTCTCCTCCTGAATACACACTCTTTATGTGCACCACCCAGATTTTATTCTTGTCATGCCAAATGCACTGTACTGCTTTCTTTCTCCCAAATCTCTCTTGGGAAGCAAACATTTTATATGTTCAACTGGGGACCAGTGTGAGACTGGGTTCTCTTGCAGACAGGGACAGATTTGAATGAAGTGTCTTCTTCCAGACTGCTGGAGGAAAGGAAAGGTCTTACCTTTGATATACATCTGCTTAATGTGGTTTCAGTGATTTCTGAGCACGCCAGCACAACTGTGGGAGGGGAATTCTGGTAGTATAAATCTGCCACTGGAGACAGGAGAACCGAGACATAGAATGTGCAAATGATGTTCCTGAAGTTGCACTGGCACTCTCTAGGGGTTCAGGGACTTTATGTATCAAGACTGATTATAGCAGTGGAGCTAGTCAAGGGTATCTCACACTATGTGCTTTCGTGCTGAAATGTGTCCTGTGTTGCTGTAGCTAATTAAAGTGGTTTAAGCTCAACATAGGGATATATTTCAGAGCTATCTGGGAATCATTACTGTATTTTAAGTATATAAATTGCTAAACTGAACTACCTTTCAACTATAGACAAGCTGTTACATCCCCATTCTGACTGCTATTTTTGAACTGCTGAATGAAGAGGTTTGGGATACATGTCCAGTCGTGAAATTAACCCAGATTCAAATATCCCCCCATTGCAGAAGGTCTCACTTGGGCTCCTTACTTTGGAACTGATTCAGGCAACCCAATCCATTTTCAAGTCCTCTTTGAACATTATCTTAAAGGTAATAGTATTTAATCTTCTCTTTCTGCTCTACCTCTTGGGAGAGGAACAGTCTGCATGAAATACTATTTCGTTTAAGTGCATACACAGAAATTGTATTATAGATAACCAGAATTTCTATGAGCAGAGCAACTGCACATGTTATGCCTTACTAAGATGTCAATAACTGCTGATTGCCGTCAAATGACCAAGCTTGGAAACCAGCACAGTTAGCTCAGTCTATCCATCCACAGGCTGTCCAAATAGGAACCAGCTGTACTGACTTGGGAACCTGAAACTGAAACTCTTGTCAGGTATCCTAAGACTAAACCCAAAAGCTCTAGCTCCAGTCCTAGTTAGGGCTGATGATGTTTTAAGTCCCCTGATATTCCTTGGAGCATGGGGTGGGCAGAAGATATGCTCAGAAAAAGAGTGGGTTCTGCCTTCTAGGAGAGCTGTGAGTGTGCAGGAAACATGCAAATCTATGCACAATGCCGACATTTAACATTTAATGCCCAGCAATGCCAGCTGGCAAAATGAGATGGAAGTTAACTTTGTTTGTTTGTTTATTTGCTTGGAGTTTGTTGTTGTTGTTGTTGGTTTTTTGTTTGGTTGCTTTTTGTTTTGTTTTGGGGTTCTTTTGTGTTTCTGCTAAAATAAGGTATGTGGGAGGGGGGACTGAGCTGCCTCTTGTTGCTTGTACAAGATCCTGCCAGATTATCTTTGGCAACTTACTTCTCAGCAAACTGATGTTTTAATTTGGTATGGGAAAGGTGGAGGGATATGTCATATAGTTTGTGAGAAGAGGAGAAACTGGCTAACTCACTGATTTTCCAAACTTTTTACCTACAAAAGATTGTTTCCCCTCTCTTCTGCTAATGAAGCTGCTAGTAATACAGAAAAATAACACAGAAAGCGCCCCCCCCCAAGACCAAAAAAGGCACCATTATATTTTGAAAGGAGCAATAGAGCAAGGGAAGGAATGAAGGCAAGGAGACTGACTGGGTGTGAATGGCTTGTGAATTTGAGACTAGATGCAAACATTGCTAGAATTAGGAAGTTTAGGTTTAGACATTTTGAAATTTTCCTCCAATAGCTGGATGAATTACAAAGCAATGAAAGTCCAGGCTGCTTAATGAACTCGGAGGAGAAAGCTGAATTAGAGTGTGGTGGCTTGTCTATTAGAGTAGGGTTTTGCATCTGCACATGGGGATGTGGTGCTCACCTCTGTGGCAACCATTCCAGTCCTCAGCAGGATGAGAGAACCAGCAGTGAGTGATGTGAGGAGCTTTCAGAGCTTTTGCCATGTGCTCATTCCTAAAATAGTCCTTCTCTGCCCATCAGCACATTTGCTGTGATATTCAGATTAGCCCATTCAATGCAAGCTCTGTAAAAGTTTACTCCACGCAGCTTATTTTAGGTGTAAGAAAACACAGAGTTGTGAATTGCATCTTAAATCAGTGTATGTGGTAATTAATGGCCTAAATTTCCCTTTTGCTTATGTTGATATAAATTTGGCCTAACTCAGTAGTACTACTGTTGAAGTTCATTGGTATAAATGATAAGATGAATTTGGCTTAGGATATATTTCGTTCTTCCAAAATGCTAGTATATCAGACTACTAGGATATATGACTTCTTTTCATGAAAGGGATGATTTTATTTACCGTGGGTTTTTTTATATTACTCACTATTCTCTGACAGACTATGACAGAAAGATAATACACCCCATTGAAGCATAAATTAGCTAACACTTTATAATAGACAAATTTTGAAATTGATCCATAAAGCTGCCAGGGCTTTTGTCTTGCAAGGTTTGACATAAAGCCTCTTTTGAAAACATTTATTTCTGCTGGCAGGCACTGGAGCAGATAAAGCTGACTTCACACAGTACATAGCAATAACAGAAAACTCAGGAACACTGCACAGGAATTTTAGGAAATATTCATGTGTCAGACTATGATACAATATTAGAACTGGAACCACAAAATGGTTTGCATTTCTCTATGTTTTTAACATGCTTTGTTCAGCACATTCCTCTACCATCAGTGTGGGAAACTTGGTCCTTATTCAGTCCCTGGGGAGGGAATGCCTGGATGTCCAGTGTCCGTGACTGTCCCTGCTTGCAACACAATGAGTGCTTCTGCACCTCCAAGTGCAATTTGATCCTGTTAGGCTTGATCTTGCAATCCCTACTCACAGGGATGATTCACGTGATTTCAGCTCTTGTGTGGCAAGAACAAAAATACTGCTCATGTGAGGAAAGGTTACCGGAGAAGCTTAAAGCTTAATTGACTTACATGTCCTAAGATGCTAAGAAACTAGAATAACAACACTGTACTTCCAGGCTAATACTGAGTTAAACTGATCTTTGAGTATTCCCAAATACACATTTGTTTCCTGGATGGCTTTATGATTTTTTTTTTTTAGATGGTAGACAAAATTTAAAGCCAAGCCAAATTTTTAAAGAAAAGACCACCAATTGTTGCAAACATGAAATCAACGTGTGTTGACGTTTCAATTTCTTTAAACTGACTTTTTCAGAGTAATGAAATTCTTGTAGCCATGGGACATTTTTCCACTTGGAAAACTGTGTTTGGGCTGTGGACCTATCAGACTTGAAATTGGCACCTAAATCTGGAAGTGTGCACAAGAAGCTTGAAATGTCAGGCTATAATTCTGTCCACACAGATCCTTGCCTACATATTACCTGTCTGTCATTCTTGCCAGCTATCTTGAAACATTCTCACACGGGTTTCAGCTGAACAGTTTACCGGATTAGAGGCTGATGATAGAACAATACCCCTCCTCTTGGACCAACACGATCTTCTCATGAATATTTATGTCTATAACCTGAGGGTTGCTTCACAGCTTTTAAGAATTGGATGTGGATGTCCTTAGCCCCCACACAAATAAGGAGAGTTCTGTGCTGTGAAACCAACACTGAATTTTCCCTGAGGTGCCTGTCACAGCCTATGTATAATTGTAAGGCTTGAGCAAGCCATGGAAAGTTAACTCTTCCCTTTATTCAGACTGATAGTCTACTGAAATCTGAGGCAAGGAAATACAAAACAGTATTTCGATTGGAAGGGACTGGCAGTGATCTACTAACTGTGGTGCTGTCTTTGCCCAGCCATCTCTTCTGCACACAAACAGGGAACTTTTCTGGGAAATCTCTTAATGACATTGAATTCCCATTGGGAGTTTACAAAGTTGATGCAGTGCTATACATCAGCTTTTCTGGTCTGAAGTGGAAAGTTTCTTACCTTGCTTGGTGAAGTGCGGGCTCGCTGCCAGCTGTTAGAGAAGCTGGAGGGTGAAACTGGACCCCTGGTCGGCGATCAGAGAAACTTCTCCTTACAAACGGCTGAGGGTTGTCGGTGGTCAGGGACAGCTTTCTGGTCCGGTCTCCTGGCTGCCGGAAAAGCAGACTGCTCTTTTGGGAATGTGATGAAGCTTCAGGCTGGCTGGTCACCTCAGCAGTGATTTTGGTTGGTGCCAGTGGAGGTCTGGCTTCAAATAAGGAGGAGGTGGCTGGGCAAAATATCGAACGGACATTACTGGCCCTCTTGGAGAAGGGGAGCCGGTGCTCGTCCCCAGCATCCAGCCCAGCTCTTGGCCCCTTGTAGGAACGAGATGGGGAGGCTGGTGGGGAGGGAGTGGTGAGGAATGGAGCGGGGCTTGCATCTCGGTGGGAGGCTGGGGAGCCCCCCAGACGGTGTGGTGCTGGCGAGCTTTGCTTGTGCCCCACAAGAGGGCTGAGGGGTTTTCGCTGGGGTGGCGGAGAGGGCATCTTCTTCTGTGAGGGTGGTGGGCTGGGCATCCTGGGACTAGAGGGGGGACTGGGCTTCCTCTGCGTGGTGGGTGAGTTTGGTTGCACGTTGCTGAAAGCCTGCAGAGAGTGTCTGTGATGTGCTGGGGGGCTGAAGATCCTTTTCTCAGTTGGTGAAGAAGGGGGAGTTCTTGTTGGGGAGACCCTCCTGGCAAATGGTGAGCCTTTTTCATTTCTCCTGAGTGAATCAGGAGAGCTGTGCTTCTGAGATGGCACTGAAGTTGCAGGTGAATTGGGCTCTTTGCTCTCTGAGCTGTCGCTGTGTGGTTTTGAAATCCCACTGGGGTTTTGAAGAGGAATAATTTTATGAGTTTGCTTGTATAAATCCGCAGCCTCTTTTCTCTGGGTTTCTAATATCTCCTCCTTGCTGGGGATGTGCACATTGGTAGGGTTCAGCTCCAGAGAGTACCTCGGCAGTTTCTCATCCCCTGACCTGGTAATCTTTAGACCTTTATTAGTCATTGCACTGGGGCCGCCGATATTTTTACTTGGCAATAAGTCAATGGACTGAAGGGAGGCTTTCATTTTTGGGGAAACTTGTGATCTCTTATTAGTATGAAATTCTGTTTTGGTGGGCTTTTTGGCATCTTCTGAAGAGTTTTCTTCTGTTCTTACTGTTTCTTCAGGCTCAGATAAGTTTTCAAAAGAAGTGTCCCTTAACATTTCAGGTGGTGGTGGTGGCAGGTTCTCAGTGTCTTCATCAGTCTCTTCCTTCATATCCGTCTTGCCTAATTGTTCAGGTGGTGCAGGAGGAAAGGCATTTGGAAAGTTAGAAGAAGCAACATTGGTGTTTGAAGTGTTTGTGTCTTCTACTGGTGAAATACGATGCTTAAGATTTAAAGGTGCCAGGCTTCTCTGAAAGGGAATGCTGGCTGGGACGACTGGAAGTCCAAATTTTCTGATGCACTTTATTGGTCCTAAAGATCTTAGAGGTACAGCTTTTACAAGGTTGTCTGTAGGACTGAATGTTTCAATAAGCTTTTTGACAGACTGCCGGGGAACACAGCTGCTGCCACTGGGCGTTTGTGCTCCAGGAGGCTCATTTTCTTTGCCTCCTGACATCTCCTGGGTGGGTACAGTAGCATTTAAAGGCTTCTCACCTCTTTTTCCATCCAGCTGATGGTCAGGATTTTGATCAAACGTGAACAAAGGGACTTTATCCTGGTTAGGTAGGATGCTGAAATTTTTTGAGAGTCCCGCCTTCAGTTTGCGTGAGGATGTAGATATAATTTGCTCATTCTGCAAATACAGCTGCTGTTCTTGCTTTCCAAAGCTCTGGGTTGCTAGCTGTATCCTTTCCATAAAACATTTTCAGCCTTTTGCTGAGCTCTTTTTGAGTTCTCTGAAGCTCTAGAAGGGTTGGGTCCTCTGCCTGGCTTCTGAGGGACTCTTCTGACCTGGACCGTCGTTGTTTCCCAAATGTTTTCTGGCTGCCTGTAGCTGTACTGGGCCTTTTTGCTAGGACTGCTCTTCCACTCTCATCCTCTGTCCATTCTTTACGCCTGGATTTAGCTGGGACGAACTTGATTTTTTCACTGATGGCATCTTTCATCTTCAGAATAATTTCTTCTGTGTCTGCATTCTCCGCCCTCTTGATGGACTGCCTATGCGTGCTATCAGTGATTGCAGGTGAAGACTGGGGCCTCCTTGGCAGACCATCCTTCCCCATTTCTGATGAACTTGTGTCATCATCATCCTCTCCCAGGGTGCTCCCTTCGTCGTCATCGTCATCATCGTCATCCTCATCAGAAAGAAAATCTCTTGATTCATAGATTTTGAAATGTTCACTTTCCTGAGTAGATTCAGACTGGAAGGAGTTGTAGGAATGGCTTTTGCTCAAGCTGGCATACTGGGGCATGGTAGAAGTGCCTTCTGGTACTCCATCCTGGGAAGAAGTCACTTCCTTGTTTTGCACAGAAGAATGAAATATGCCTTTAAAATGTTTAAAATGTCTTTCAAGTCCACAGTCATGGGACACAGCTGTGTCTGGTGACACTGTCCCATCTTTCATGCACCCCACTGTTCTGGCATGCTTTTGGGATGGAGGTCCATGTCCATAAGAGTCACTTTGCTGTCCTCCAGGCTGGCTGAGAGCACTGAACTCTTTGAGGGATTCACTGTCCACGCCAATGCCACTGTCCTCAGAACAGAGAGTCCTGTCCTCACCATGGGACTGAGAGCATCCCACAGTTGAGGCTTCAAGCAGCCTTACTATCCGCAGCAAGTGCTCATCAAAGCTTTGCTTGGCTTTCAGTTTGCCTTCCAAGTTGCTGGCAGCAGACTGCAGGTAGCTGCATGTCTCCTGCAGGGCGTTGGAGGTGAGGGAGGCCAGCATCCCACTCACTAACTGCATTTTATTGACCGTGTACTGTAGTAGTTGTTGCAGAAGATCAGGGTGCTCCTTCAAACCGTCTTTTTCTGCTGGCCATGCCAAATTCCCACTTACATCTTTGAGGAGATTTTCCCCATCATTGGCAATTTCTTCCAAGAGTTGGTTGATTTCATCAAAGCGAAACACGAGAAAGCTTATCATCTGCTGTAGGAAGAGCTGAGTTTGGGTAGCCTGGGTGGCCATGTGCAATATAGTTTCATATTTGGAGAGGTTAGGATTTAAGTAGGCATATGCACTCTGGTGAGCCTTAACGAGTGGTTCTGGGAAATCTACCTTCTTCTCTTCCTCACACGGGGCCAGGATGGACTTGACTTTACTTTTGCTAGGTCGACCTTGCTTTGCCAGCTTATTTTTTGCCTTCTTTCCTTTTTTGGGGATTTGCTTTGCGTTGCTTTCGTTCTTGTCATCCCAAATGAAAGCTGCTGCTTCTGAGTCACAGGAGGTTTGCTTTCTGATCTGTATGGACTCAGTGATGTGCTTTTGAGACTCAATCAGTTCAGACATGACGACTTCAGCATCTGTGGCTGTCCTCTCAGTTTTCTTGTCTTCCCTGGGAATCTGGGAATCTGAATGAGTCTTGGGAGATAACTGTAAATTATCGCTGTTGTCCTGCTCTGATAGCTTATCCTCCTCTTCTTCCAGGTATTCATTCCTCTGGTGTAATTCATCAATATCATAGCAAGATGAACCTTTAACCAGCAGAGGGATTCCTTTATCTCTTGGATCAATCGGCAAAACACTTTTGGGTTTATTCAAAGCATTAAGACCACTTCTTGAAGCAGTACTAGCAATCTCATTGTGAGATGGTGTGCAGCCCATCCTTTCTTCGTCTTTATTTTTGATTAAAAATCAAGATGAACTGGGGAAAACACAAGAAAGAATCAAACTCACTGTTTCATCCCGAACTTCAGACTGGCCTGTTTCTCAGGAGTTTTCCACCATGATCCCAGGTTTGTTTTCAATTTTGATTGTTGTTTGCCTTGAAACCTCATGTACTTATTGTGTAGTATCTGCTCTTGAAGTCGCGCTCTGTTCCATTGTATGTTCCGACATGGGTTTTCTTCTTTGATTCAAAAAAGGAGTGTGAAAGCTCTGCTGGATTTAGAGCTAATGGATTAAGAGGACTTGCGTACCTCACTTCTATCTTGACAGATGTCCGCTGCAAATAAGATTTTAAGCTCATTAGGGTAAGCAAGTGCCAGCCAGTCAGCAGCCGAGTTGTATTTATAAAGGTAGGTTCTTTTCTGCACTGTAGTGGGGGGCAAAAGGACTTGGTATCTTTCCCTCCTTCTTTCTCTTGTTGCAAAAGCATAACATAAAATTGAATGCAGAGATCCAAAAGAAGAGACTTGTGAGACTTGTATTTTGAAGTCTTTTTGAAGGGAAACTATTTGAACATGGCATGTAAATGCCATTGGATGCTCCTTAACTAAGAGAAAGGTGACACTGATCAAGGATGTACCCACCAGAGAGTAAAAGACAGAAAATCAAATAGGTTATAGATGCCTGTTAAGACTTCTGCCTTGAGGGTATTCAAAATTTTCCCCTACTTAAAAATGACAAGCTGTTTACTTTTCCTTCTAAGACTTCTAAACAAGATTTTGATTTTTTTTTTTAATTCCTCTCAGGTGATTGTTCTTTGAAAATATTTTTTTCTCTTCTAGATAGCTTCTCAACCTGAAAATCCCAACTACCCAACAACAGTATTTGTAGGATAAGTTTTGCATATGTTGTTAAGATTCTGTCTGAGTCTAGTGGATCTACACTGTATATTTTCAGATTAAAGTAAAAATCAAGTGAATTTTTTTCCCTTTCTCTGACTGTCTTGCAATAAAATTTGAAGTCACAAAAGTGACTTGGGTACCTTTATTTATTTTTCACCTGCCAGGGCTTTGTTGTTTCAAATGCAAGACTTTACAGGTTAACACTCTTGGGGAAAAAAGCTAATAAGTAAAAAATATAGACTTATTTCTGAAAAAAAAAAAAAAAAGGGAAGGGAAGGGAAGGGGAAGGGAAGGGGACGGGGAAGGGGAAGGGAAGAACCTGTTCTTTGAATGACTTGTGAGGTCAGGACAGAATAATATCACTCTGAAAAAAAAAATTAGAGATGCCAAAGTAGGAATTGGATGAAGCAGAAGACACTTGTCTTTTCCAGTTATTTATTTATAAAGGGTAGTATGTGGATGAGGCCATAATAGCAACCACCCCCAACTTACCTCTTCACTACTCAGACTGGCCTAAACAGATTTATTTTTTATTTCCAGACAACAGCCTTTCTACAGAAGGTGTCCATTTCTCATTGTTGCAGGGTTATGGACAACAGTGTCCAACTCTAATGCTGGCTGGAATTGTGATGCTTCTCTCCAGCAATGGGATTTCTAGCTGCGTGGTCTTGGCTATCTTATCCAATTCCCAAAAATCCTTACATGCTGCCAAGCCTATAAAACATTCTCAGACTTTAAAGAGCTGCTTACATGATTCATTCCTTGGGGCTGGACTGCAGAAGCCGAATATCTGCTTGGAAAGTTGTCATTTTCTGTAGCCTGATTGTTCAAATCTCTCTTTCTTTTCATCAGGGGCTGCAAAATTACCTTGTTTTACAGGGAAGAAGGCATTACATTGATTCACAGGAAAATTTTTAAAACTCTGCGTGCTGCTCTCTAAAGTAATTTTTCTGGAACACTTGAACTTAATACACATGATAACATAGTCATTTTCCTCAAGGCTTTTCTGGAAAGCATCAGGTAATTACCTCTCGACTCTGCTTCTTGCCAGTCATTTAGCTCAGGTTCTGGCTGCTTCTGTGTCTCCCTGAAATGCATTTTCTACAAAATGATCCCAGTTCTTTTTGCATTCCCTTTTAGGCATGCATCTCATGTGTTCAAGTAGAGAAATGGAGCCAATTTAGGCATCTGCTTCATCTTAGTGATCCTAGTGGTCAGGATGCTGTCGCCCTCCAAAATAAGTCATGGAAAACAGTAGAATAAGCAACTATCCTTAATACACTTCTGCTGTTTACAGTGGGACTTCAGAGACTTCTTTATGTAGCTGCTTAATACTTGTACTATGAAAACATTTTCATCTTTTCTTCAAAAAGCAGCTTCAACAGCTCCATTATTCACACTGGGAATTTTGACAATTAACTCCTTGTGAGTTGGTGATTTTATCTGAGAAGTTCTTTTCTTCCCCTTTGCTTTGATCAGTCATGTTATTTTTATTTGTTTTTTTTTTCTCGTTATTTTCACATCATGCATTAACATCTTACAGGGAATAAATGCATGGTTAAAAACCTCCCAAACCTGGTTTATGATTATTTATTATGCAGTCGTTTATTGTTTTAAATATTGGTAGTAAATAAATAAATATTATTTTATTGCCTATTTATTATTAAATCAAGATCCAGGCTCATAGAAAATGCATTTTAACAAGGCATCTGTTTTATCCTAACTTTAACTGCCGTTTGCATGTATATACAATATGACTAATGCTGTGTCAGATTTATTAGCTTCTGTGAGAGAGCAGGATCTTTGATGTGCCTGTTTCTAACTGCTTATGTAGCTGCAATTTTCTCATCAATATTCTTATTACCAAGCAGTTATATATTTCTTTGCACTTCTGAGGCATTTTAGAAAAACCCCAATGCTTTACCTCATGAAAAATGCTAAGAAAAATGCTTTATCATATGGTCTTATAACAAAAGAGAAGACAAAATAGGTAATGCACATAAACACTTATACCTGGTCTTAAAAATTTAAGGTTTGTATTTGTGGATGAGGGCTCACTGAGGAATTATGGAGTGCTTGGGTGATAATAACAAAACAATAAGAACTTTAAAGACGTATTTTACTCTCAGAGAAACAGGCTTTTTCTTCCTTTGTGTGAGCAAACTGAATATAACCAGGGAGCTGTTTATATTTCTGGCCTAGACATCATAAGTAAATAAAAAATAGTTGCTTTTTAATTTCAGCTTCTCCTGCAGACCTGACACTGTTTTGGGAGATGGAGTAGATTCTCTCCTTTCTGTAATCACTAACAGAGATACTTATGAAGCTTCATCTTGTTTCCCCTAGTGGAAACCTGTTGACAATGGTAAGGAGTAGAAATATCATGGTTCAAAGGAAATCTAATTGAAAAGAAGTAAATAAAACCAGAGGGTCTATACAGAACCTTTATTAGTGGTGATGGTGCAAATAAAAAACAAAATTCATCTTTGTTCTGGTTCAACGATAAACTTCTCAGGTTGTTTTCACTTTCTTTTTAATTTTTTTTTAATTTCTAATTTCTAAGTAAATTGCTTCAGACTGATTGCACGAGGCAATAACTGCGACCTCAATGCTTTCAATAACCTGTTTTGCAAAGCAGGATTTTTAACAAACATTTTTTTTTAACAGCAGCAGGACAATAGAAATAAAAAGATGTTGAAAACAAGTAGGAAACTGGTTTCCTTCTCCAGCAAAAATACTTCATAAAGGACGAAAAAATACTTTATAAAGGAGGAAAAAATATAAGAAGAAAATTAAAGAGGGTCGTTTCGGGGGTTTGCCTGCACAGGGCTGTTGGTACACACAGGTGACCCAAAGGAGTCGAGAAAAATTGTGTGACCACTGTCAGCAGTAGTTTTTTGAGATGTATTTACATTTGCCTGTTATTTTTGGAATGTGTGTTCTGGTCACTTAATCTTAGTTTCTCTTTGTTAAACAACCCATGGGTATTTAAAAGCTTGCTATCTGCCATAATTAACACATTCAATTCACTGCTGTTCTCAATGGTTAAGACAGTGACTCCCAAAAGATGACAGTTAGGACAAAGAATTGTGTGGGACAGCATAAAGTTTTAAATATGGATTTCCAGGTTTATGCAAATCTAGAAAATTGAAATGGGAGGGTCCCACTAGCCTAGGCAGCAGTTACAGCAGTTCACAAGAGTCAAAGCAGGTTTGTGGTTGTGGAGCAATTTCAAGGAAAGCAAGTTCCTTTCAGGTGAGGGACTGCCAATTCAACAGGCAGGCAGTGGCTTCTGTAATTTCTAGTGGAAAGTGGTAGTGTCGATTTGGGATCTCGAAGTGAGGCCCAGGTAATTTGCATACCTGAAAAATATGCCATGATGTGACAGAGAAGAGTGCAGCTATTGAGCCTTATGCCTTTTTCAGTTCTCAGTGGGTTCCCTCAACTAAAGCACCTCAGGGTTTCCCTGGAAACTCAGATAGACACAGAATTCCTCCTGTCTTCCTTTCACGGAGTGTCTCAAACCACAGAGTGTGTATTGATAGCTGTGTGAAACCACCTCAAACCCACAGGCAGCCTGGAGCATGGCAACTGTTGCCTGGCAGTGGGACGGCCATCCTGGTGTGATCCTGATGCATGCATGCATGGAGCAGGCATTTACTCTGGAGAAAAGATGATCCTTCACTGCCTGGCCACTAAGGAGAGTGGCTCTTGATGAAGTGCTAGGCTTGGGGCTGCAGGTCCAGAAGCAGTGCATGTGACTTGAGGAGATGGGACTTGGCCCACCCAGCAGGAACTGAAAAGGGCAATTTACAGTGTGGGGTGCTGGCTGATGTCTGGAGGGAGGAAGGGTGACATGTCCCCTAGAAAATAATGGGATAGGCTGGAAGGGCTGGAAAGGCTGACAGTGACCATAACCTTTTCCGTAGGAGAGAAGCAAGTGCATACACAGCTTCCTTGTTTCACACCCAGCTCTGGGGGTATCCTTGGAGTATCCACCGTTGGTGAACATGCCTGCTGTCTTGAAGTTGCACTGAACCTGGTATGTAAGTGTGCTCACTGTCAGAACCACTCTGCTGCCCTAATCCTTGCTCT